AAAAATAATGACTGTGTAACTAATGTATGTATTTGATAGATATTTCTGAACATTCGACAAATAAAAATGTTAACATCATTAAAGGATTCAGGCATGGGGCCATTTTCGATTTAAAAATGGATAAGTGGGTGTTTGTTAAGTAGATTTGTATTCACGCAGTAGGACAGTCAAGTAAGATGAACATGATTAAAAAAAAAAAGCCAAAAAACCAGATATTTGTTGTGAATGAGCAGAATTGTTGCTGAATCACGTCTAAGCTGATCAAGTCTGCCGGCATCAGTCTTGTTATCTTTATCTGATAACAAAGCTCTCCTGCTCTCATCCAAACATGGTGACGTCTGTGTGCAGAGTCAGCAAACTGTAAAGAGTTTTATCAGAGTCGACTGGTGAATCCCCGCCCTTTTAATGTCCCTGTAATCCACTAAGATTAAAGGTAATTTGGCTAATGCTTGAAAAAAGCTGTAAACATGTGACGTCTGTGGTGAAAACACTCTTAGCCAAGTCCACAGATCAATTCCCATCCATTTGGTTCATTTTTACTTTTGCTTTTTTTTTTTAAGAATTAACCTTTTTATTTTTCATAAATATGGCAGTGAAGCTTTTCGTTTCTTTGGGGGATTTTATTGCATATTACAGACCAAGAGGTTGCACAACAGGCATGGATGGAGAATATTTATTCGAGTTGTGAAGTTTGACTACCTCAACCAAATTTCCATTTCTATTCCTGTGTGTGGTCGCAGAAATGTTTTAGATGCAGGCACGATGCTTGGAAATAAAGCTACATTCACGGAAACACAGAGTTGTGTGTTGTTATCACTGAACAAACACTCAATTTTAGCAATTCAACTGTAATATTTAACATTAGCTTAGGCAGTTGCTTTATTTGGTTCTATCATCCTCTGTTTCTGCCTTCCTCAGTCTCCTGTCTGTGTGTTGCAGGTCTGTAGCGGAGCAGGAGCGGCCGTTCGCTCTGGGAATGCAGTTTGTCCTCCTCAGGACTCTCGGTGAGTAGAACCGGAAAGCACAGAGCTGCTCGTCTTGTTTTATTTACCCATGACATTAAATAGAAAAGCAGAATATCAGCAGTGTTATTTGTGGAGCTCGATGGAGAGATGGGCTCACTGCTTGTAAACACTCGGTGCCTCCTGACTGACGAGATGTTTTACAGATTTTTAAAAAGTGGCGGTTATCCTGAATAAGGAGGTGAATTATATTTGATGCATGTTCAGGGAGCTGCTGTCAGTGTAAATTATTTGGAGGACAGAAACTCTGAGGTGTTTGGGGTTAATCAGGTGGTGAGGATTATGAAATTTATGAAATCCAGGATGGCACTTCTCAGCTTGTGCTGCAGTTTCTCACAGCAGCTCCTGCAGCTTTATTGGCGTCTCAGCTCACTGAGAAAGCTGAGAGCTCACGTCTGTTCTGGGTTTGTTTTACCTCCCTTGACCTCTTCTTTCCCTGTTTTCTCTTCCATGTCATCGTTTTTTTCTTTCTTTCTGCTCTTTCCATCTCCTTTTCTGTCTCTCGTTCTTTCCCCCGCCTGATTTCTTCTTCTTCTCTTTTTTTACTCAGCCTACATCCCGACTCCCATTTATTTCGGGGCCGTCATCGACACCACCTGCATGTTGTGGCAGCAGGACTGCGGCGTCCACGGCTCCTGCTGGGAGTACGACGTCACCTCTCTGCGCTTCGTGTACTTCGGCCTCGCTGCTAGCCTCAAGTTCCTTGGCTTCCTCTTCATCTTCCTCACCTGGTACTCCATTAAGTACAAAGAGGAGCGGGTAGAGCGCTGGCTCAAGCGCCACCTGTCGCCCGTCGACACCGTGGGCAGCCTCGTCTGCCACCCCGGCGGCCACAAGGGCCACGCCCGCACCCGATCCTGTCCCGTAAACATCCCTCGAACCGACCCCAACGCTCTGCCCGCTAATGCACCGCCGCGTGCCGGCACCCTGAACCGCGGCGTTAGCACCCAGAGCTGCCCCGGCCAGGAGCTGAAAGCAATAACTCCTCCTCCGGCAGCCACGGCTGCACCTTCACCCGCAGCGGCGCCCAACCCCGC